GCCAACACACAAAAATCAGTTGCCTCTCTATACACTAGCAATGAACAGTCTGAAGAGGAAATTACAAAAACCATTTCATTTACAGTAGCATCAAAAAGAATAAAATACTTAGGAATTAACGAAGGAGGTGAAAAGTTTGTTCAATGAAAACTACCAAACATTCCTGAAAGAAATTAAACACAAATAAATGGAAACACATCCCATGTTCATGTATTAAAAGACTTAATATTATTAATATTGTTAAGATGTCAATACTATCCAAAGTGATCTACAAATTCAATGCAACCTCTATCAAAATGCCAATGACTTTTTTTTTTGCAGAAATAGAAAAACCCATCCTAAAATTTATATAAATATCAAAGGATACTGAATTGCCAAAATAATCTTGAAAAGGAAGAATAAAGCTGTAGGATTCATATTTCCTAATTTCAAAACTTAGTACAAAGCTGCAGTAATCAAACCAATGTGGTATTGGCATAAACAAAGACATATAGACCAACTAAATAAAACAGCCCAAAAATAAATCATCACATATATGGTCAAATGATTTTTGACAAGAGTGCCAAGACCACTTAATAGGAAAAGGAAAGTCTTTTGACCAAATGGTGCTGAGAAAACTGGACATCCACATGCAAAAGAATGAAATTGGACTCTTATCTAAAATCCAGTACAAAAATTAACTCAAAATGGATCAAAGACCAAAATATAAGACTAAAACTATAAAACTCTTAGAAGAAAACATGAAACAACAGCTTCACAACATTGGATTCAGCAATGATTTCTTGAATATGACACCAACAACACAGGTAACAAAAGAAAAAAATTGACGAATTGAACTTTATGAAAAATTTTAAAATTTGTGTATCAAAAGACAGTATCAGGCCGGGTGTGGTGGCTCATGCCTGTAATCCTAGCACTCTGGCAGGCCGAGGCAGGTGGATCCTTTGAGCTCAGGAGTTCGAGACCAGCCTGAGCAAGAGAAAGACCCCATCTCTACTAAAAATAGAAAGAAATTATATGGAAAACTAAAAATAGAAAAAAATTAGCAGGCATGGTGGCGGCACATGCCTGCAGTCCCAGCTACCCGGGAGGCTGAGGCAGGAGGATGGATCGCTTGAGCCCAGGAGTTGGAGGTTGCTGTGAGCTAAGCTGACGCCACAGCACTCTAGCCCAGGCAAGAGAGTAAGACTCTGTCTCTAAAAAAATGGTTTAAAATGATAAATTTTGTTATGTGTATTCTGCCACAATAAAAATATTGAAAACATACACAATACTCTCTGAAACATTAAATACAATCTCCAGATGTTTAAATATATATGAATATATGTGAATTGTGTGCGTATGTATAATATACTCAGATATATACATAAATAAGTGATAATTACACTTCTTATAAAGGTCTCTAACAGATTTTCATATATAACTTCAGTATAAGAGCACAGACTCTGGAGCCAGACTGCCCGAGCTCATATCCTAGGTCTGCTATTTACTAGCTGGCATGTTACTTAAACTCTCTATTCCTCAGTTCTCTCATCTATAACATGAGGATAATAATAGTAACCTCTTGCAAAGGGTTATTATGAGGATTAAATGAGTTAACAGAGGTAATGTGATTAGAACAGTACCTGCACAGAGCAAGTGCTATGTATGTGTAAGCTATCTGCTTGCTTTCTTTTTTAAGAGTCGAAAATGTTCCAAATGGTTGCTTTGGTTTTCTGTGGAATTGATGTGTACCATGGCCCTTAAGACAGGACAAGTATCCCTTCTGCCTGATAAGCTTTACTTACGTATCTCATTTCAACCATTTCGTGGGGGTTGATCACTGACTTTAGAAAGGGGAATAGGAATGAGGAAGGGATCGAAGTATGTCCCTCATCTAAACTTCAAACCACAAGTAAGTCGGGACAGTCATCTAGCACTACATCCTATTCAAATCAAGAGTTAACACAATCAATACTCTTTTTAATAATAAGGCATTTTGCTTAGCTTATTGCTTTTGTTCTCTCCTGTCCAATCAGAGGAGCTGGCAGAGGCACGCGTGTTTCGGGAAAAGTGAAGGAAATCACAAGAATCATATATGAGTCATCTATCTCCTTTGCTTACATCCACTCAGGCATCAACTCCTGTCCATTTTTTCTTGCAACATCTTTCTTAATTACCCCAATCACACATATGTGCTCTGTTGGGCTCCATGGGGTGGGCAGATGCCAGTAAGTCCTGGATGGCAGGAGCTCACAGCACATCTTTCTAGTGGAGACCTGCAACCCTAAATTCCTCTGTAGCTTAACATTCCAGTAGCCCCCTACCCAGGCAAGCCTTCCTGCTGGCTTTCCCTTCAATGTCATTTCCCTCATGCTACACCCCACTCAGGGCCTTCAAGTGCAAATAAAGCTCTTCTGCCTGGATTGACTTTGCCAACACACCCTCCTTCCAAGCCAGGCTCCTTACTGACCACAAAGGAGCACGCTCACTCTCAGTTCCGGGTCTTTGCTTTTGCTGTTCAAACCCCACCAAGAATAACTTCTCCACCTACTCAAATCCCACCCATCCAGAAGGTTTACCTCTTCCATAAAACTACCAGCCTTCACAGTTTCCTCTCTTCTGAACGCCTATAGGACTTAGTGCTTGGACTACACAACCCTGCCATTCTAAAGCCCGTCTTCAATATATGATCATTCACTTCTTAACAAATGGCTTGCACACACTTTCATGGGTCCCAAGCAGTCCTGCCCTACTACCCCGGGAGGAGCCCGGCTCCTCTGCCAGCCAAGGACTCCCCTCACTTCTATGGAGAGAGGTGCTGAGTACAGTGGTTAAGGGCATGGCCTCTGGAATCAGGCTGCCAAGACTGGAAACCTGGATTTACCAGCTATGCGACTTTGGGCAAGGGTCTTGGCCTCCCCATGCATCAGCTTCCTCATGTACAAAACGGGAATATTAACAGCACCTACAGCTTTGGTTGTTAGTGAAGATTAAATGAAATAGTACAGGCAAAGCACTTAGAAAACTGCTGGGCATAGAGTTAACACTACATACATGCTAGTTGTTTTTATTAAGACATGCCACAATGTGGGCTATTGAGCCGAACAGACTAAACTAAGCTAGTAACCTAATCATTTTTATAAACATTCAGAGCATTAAAGCTGGAGAAGCTATTAGAACTTATGGAGTTCAACCTCCTCATTTCACAGATGTGCAAACTGCAGCACAAAGGAGGGGAAATGACTAACCCAGAGTCCCACAGCTGGTAAATGTCAGAACCACTAAAATTCAAGTCTCCTGACTGGAAACAGCTAATGTTTTTTCACCATACCTCAATGCAATTCTACCAATATTTCTAATGGAGGAAAAAAAGTCTCAGTATTCTAAGTAACCAAGTTACCCACAAACCCTTGTGACAAAACTGATTAAGTTGGGGGTTGCCAGTATTGCCTAGAAGGCCAGCTGTTGATTCAGGTGTGTGTGGGAGGAAGTTTGTAGGAGTGAGCCTGCTGGAGTGGCACTGTGAAAAATCAAGACACTAATGAGATGGTGACCTTAGACAAGTCCCTTCCCTTCTCTGGACTGCAGTGTCCCCATAGAAGTCCCCAACTGAAGGAGAGGCACTTTGGGGACAAGGATTTTGTTGTATACTCTAAGGTTCTAAGTCAATGTATAGAGCCCAGCTCACTACTAAACAAGGCAGACACTTGAATTATGATTGACTGACAAACTTCAAGCCTCCCCCCATCTCTACTCAAATGCCACCTTTTCAGTAAGTTCTTCTCACTCCACCCTATTTACAATGGCAAACACCTTCTTGCTTTTTGTTTTTCTCCATAGTGCTTAAGGCCTGGGGACATACCATATATTTTACTTTTTTCCCCCCTCTCTGACTCTGCCAATATCATATTAGCTCCACAGGACTTGATCTATTTGCCCACTGCTGCCTTCTCAGCCCCAGAACACTGCCTGGCACAGAGTGGACACTGCAAACATTTCGTTGACTGAATCGATAGAGGGCATCGAGGTTTCCTAATCAACATTTCGATGTGGGTTTCAAAGCACAACACACTGGTAAAAATGCAATAAGCACATTGTAGGTGTTTGTGTCAATGTGTTGGAGCTTCAACTGTCACCCAACATGTCGAGAAGGCTGCTTGTGCTAGGATCTGTCCGTGAGGAAGTTATTAATCCTTAATTTTTCACAGCAACTCTGTTGGGTTAATTAAAAATTGCGGCACAGGGTGAGCAGTCTAGAGAAACTCTGAACTATCTTCTCAACTTTTCCATAAATCTACAACTATTTCCTAAAATATTCCAACTTTTCCTAAAATATAAGGTTTATGAAAGAGAGGGAGAGAGGAAAAAAAAAAAAAGCATTTTCCCAGATGCGGCTCCGAGGTTCCCTAAGGATTTCGTGGACGCCAGAGGAAACCATGACCCTCACGTTCTTTTTCTACAGGGACTGGGATCTTTAAAGGTTCCCTTCAACTTTCATCCCCAAGAGCCACCCTTAGATAGTGAGGATCGGCGCGGCCCCGGGCAAGGAGCCCCGGCGCGTTCCCGGCTCGCCGGGATTTCGGTCGCCGTCTCCGCCGGCTCCCGTCCCTTCGTCCCTTCCGGCGCTCACAGGCGACACTGCGGGCGCTGACCCGCGGTCCCCGACACCGTGGGTATGTTTCGGTCCCATCCTCGGGCGCCAGCCTCCTTGGCTCTTCCCGAGGGCGCCAAGGAAGTGAGACGGCCGGCCGTCGTGCTCCTGCTTCGCCGCCGCACCCGGCTCTGGGAAAAACCCCCCCGCTCCTGGGTCCCACCTCGAACCGGGCGTCAGCGCCTGGCCCCGGAGACCCGGCGCGGGAGGCCACAGTCGCCGAGCAAGGGGCGTCTTGAGGGCAGCCCCAGCGCCCGCCCCCGCTGTAGCCCTCGGGCCCGGCGGTGCCCTCCCGGGCCTCTTGGCCGCGACCCTCACCGCCCCTGGCCCTCTGGCCGCCTCCCCGGGCCCCGGGGGCCGCACTCACCCGTGGGCGCGGCGCCCCCGCCGCTGCAGGCGCAGAGCAGCAGCGCCCACAGCCCGCAGAGCCCCGCCGGCCGCTCCATGCAGCCCCTCGCTCGGAGCCCGGCCGGGCTGGAGCCTCGGCAGTCTCCGCCTCCTGCGCTCCCTCTCCCACTTCCCGGCTCCGCAGCCCTGGAGGCTGGGGGCCGGCCAGACGGGAAGGGCCGCCCCGCCCACCGGCCTGAGGTAACCGGAGCCAACGAGCGCTGGCGGAGGGAGCAGGGCGCCGGGGGCTCGGGCGCCTCCCAGAGCCCGACACCTGGCCCGCCCGCAGCGCAAGAGTCGGGTCTCCGACCCAACAGAACTGCCGCGACCACGTCGCTGGCCCTGCCCCGGCGCGTGCCCGGCCCCCGCCCTCCTCGCGGTGCGGCCAGCGCCCGCCCGCGTCGTCGCTGCCGGTGGACTTACGGGGCCTCGGAGGTGCCAAGGGCTGTGCCCTGCTGGACACCAGGGCAGGGTCATCTACACGATAGAGCCTTGGCCTGGGAATTTGAAGACCTGGCTTCCAGTCCTTGGCCTCTGAGCCCTTGTTTCCTAAGCTCTGACTCCAGGGTTAGTAATACCAGCCCTACCTCACTGGGAGGACTTGGAAGACCAAATAGGGGACTTGGTGGCACTGTGCTTTGTGAAAAGGACAAATGGTATATTTGAAAGCTAGTAATACATAATGTTAAGTCAGATAAAAAAAAAAAGCAACATTCCAAATATGAGGAACAGCACCATACTATGTACCTGTATTTGCGTTTTTTAAAAGCACACGACCAGCTTTCTATGTATTTATTTTTCACGGATATACCTTCAGAGGATGGCAGATGAGTGGGAAGAATACACCTTGAATACTTAAAATCGGGTGCCTATGAGGTTTGATGAGGCTGGGGAAGGAGGAAAACAAGAACCCGTATGAGTTTCCTACTGCTGCTGTAACGAATTAACACAAATTTAGTGACTTAAAACAACAGTTTTATTATACTACAGTTCTGAAAGTCAGAAGTTTCACTGAGCTAAAAGCAAGGTGTGGGCAGAGCTGCGGCCTTCTGGAGATTCTAGGGGAGAATCTGTTTCCTTGACTTTTCCAGCTTCTACAGACTGCCCACATTCCTTGGCTTGTTGCTACACCACTCAGACCTCTGCTTCCCTTGTCACATCTTTCTCTGACTCTGACCCTTTTGCCTCCCGTTTTCCCTTATAAGGATCCTTGCAATTAGATTGGGCCTACTGAATAATCCACAATAATCTCTCCATCTCAAAATTCTTTTTTTTTTTTTTTGAGACAGAATCTCGCTCTGTTGCCTGGGCTAGAGTGCCGAGGCATCAGCCTAGTTGACTGCAACCTCAAACTCCTGGGCTCAAGCGATCCTCCTGCCTCAGCCTCCCAAGTAGCTGGGACTACAGGCGTATGCCACCACGCCTGGCTAATTTTATCTATTTTTAGTTGTCCGGCTAATTTCTTTCTATTTTTAGTAGAGTAGCCTCTTGCTGAGGCTGGTATCGAACTTCTGACCTCAAGCAATCCTCCTGCCTCAGCATCCCGGAGTGCTAGGATTACAGGCATAGCCACCATGCCCGGCCAAAACTCTTAATTTAATCACATCTGCAAAGTCATTTTTGCTGTGTAAGGTAACATATTCACAAATGTTGGGGATTAGGGTGTAGATATTGTGGAGGGACATTATTCTATCACCCCTCCCCAAAACAGAGTCATGTCTGGATGGATGATGAGACCCACTATCTGAGGTGTATTTTGATTGAATTAAGCCAGTGTAGACACCTGAAAGCAGTTGCAAAAAATATAGCAATAAAAATGCTGATAATATACCTAGCCTAGACCCCACCCAAAAGGCATGGGGATGTTTAACCTATTTGAAATAAAGGTTCCACTCTTGGAATTAAGGCTCTCAAGTTCAATAAATATTTATTAAGTTTTTCCAGGAACTGTGGAAGACAGTCATTAAAAGCAGAGCCTGCCAATTAAGAGCTGCAATCAGTTTGAGGGGTTATCATTAAGGGCAAGAACAAGGAATTGTGGGATATAAAAAGGGTACCTTCTGGGAGAAAAATGGTAAGGGGGGCTTCCAGGAGGAGGGCCTCCCTGTGCTGAATCTGATAGGGGTGGGAAACCTGCCTCCTTAAGGCAAAATGTAGCCTTCTAGGTCCTTGAGTGTGGCCTTTTGACTTAATCCAAATTTTACAGAACAAATCCTTTTATTAAAAAGGGTGAAGCAGAGAAAGATGAAGCTTTTCTTGCCTCCTTTGGTGCTTTAAAAAGAACAATCTTGAAATCAGAAGGCTGCAGGTTTTCCACCCCTTCTGGGCATGGTGGTCCATACCTGTAATCCCAGCTACATGGGAGGCTGAGGTGGAAGGAACCCTTGAACCCAGGAGTTCAAGACCAGCCTGGACAACATAGCGAGACCCCCATATCAAAAAAAGAATAAATCCTGCATATATTATTGAACAATATAATGCTTATGAAAACACTTTGTAAACTACCAAAGCCTGTAGAACTGAGAGATATTATTACTATTTCTAAATTCCCCCTTGAATAGGTCAGCCACTCTCTAATCCATGGCCTTCCCTCCTGCATCACCACACACATATACAGTTGCTGACATTTGCTATAAACATTATACAATATGCTTATAATAACGTTTCCAAAATTATTTTCTCATCTGCCTTTTAAGGAGCGTCCAGTTGGAACAGAAGCTCCTGGGGACTGCTGAGTACCATCATGGGCACTGCCTGGCACAGATTGTGTGAGCACTTAATAAAATGAACAGTAATGGCAGCAAATGATTAGAAAAATACAGGTCGAGACTTGTTTTCAGCCTCCAGGAAAGGCCTTAAGAATTTGAGCATTGTGAGGAAAAAGACAAAGGGTGCTGTGGGGAGGGGAGATTTCCTTTTACCAAGATAGTTCTCAGGGCCTTTTCTGGAGGCTAATGACAAGTGGCGACCTGTATTTTTCTAATCATTTGCTGCCATTACTGTTCATTTTATTAAGTGCTCACACAATCTGTGCCAGGCAGTGCCCATGATGGTACTCAGCAGTCCCCAGGAGCTTCTGTTCCAACTGGACGCTCCTTAAAAGGCAGATGAGAAAATAATTTTGGAAACGTTATTATCTCCCCTTAAGACTGTATAGTCAGTTCCCTTTCTTCGGGACCCTAAACATCAAGTGACAATTTTTTCAAAATTTTTCAAGGGAGTGGAGAGGGTTAAGAATGCTGTTTTTGCAACATAAAACTTTTATTTGTAACCTCTGTGTACTGTTATTCAAAGAGCATCTTGGGTTGAATCAGGCCACTGCCCTGGTCTGCAGGAGGAATGAAGACAAATGGAAGGCTTTCCAGGAACTTCAATAGATAGGAGCTCTCAGTTTGGCTTTTGTAAATCAAAATCATGATGGGTAAACATCAAGTTTAGCTTTAACCCTTAGAGCCCTGGCGACTTGGGTGTGCGACTACCAGTGGTCTTTCTTTCACTTTGGCCAGGAGTGGCTGGAGTTCTGGGCTGCCCTGTATACCTCAGCCAGTCCAGCTAGCTGTTTGCACCTTTACCCTTCCCAATAAGGCTTTTTCCTTTCCTATAAGTGGAGGCTGAAAAGGGCATATACAAGAAATATCTGACAGAAAGAATGATATCCCCCTTTCCAAAGTCAGGTCTCCTTCCACCCAGTTCAGAGACACCGTCCTGAGTTCAATAAGGACACATCCCTTGGCATATTCCAAGGACTTAGCTAAAAATGCTGCTGCCTTAGGCAAAAATATCACAAAGGGTCCTCTATCTCTTATTAAGCAACAACCAGACCCTCAAAACCACTACAATGCAAAGAAAAAGGGGAAGTTGCAAACAGGGAATTTCCCTCCTTCTGATTCTAGATCAGTGGTTCCCAACCAGGGATGATTTTACCTCCCAGAGGACATTTAGCAATGTCTAGAGGTACTTTTGCTTGTCATGAATAGGGCAGGGGATGTTATGCTCCTGGAATCTAGTGGGTGGAGGCCAGGGATGCTGCTAAACATCCTACAATGCATAGGACAACCCGCACAACAAAGGCTTACCTTGCTCAAAATGACAATAGTGAAAATGTTGAGAAATTGTGAACTAGAATACTCTTTGCTGTCTTTTGTACTTGGCCCCCACCCGCCCATTGTCCTTGTGCTTCCCAAAGTCAGTGAGAGATGACTGCTGAAAATACTCTTGACACCTGATACCTCCCTTTCCTGTATCTAGAGCCTCTGGTTCCCCCACCTGTCTAACCATTCAGTCACTTATGTAAAACATCTCTCAGATCCAATCCCACCTTCTTGTCTCCAGGGTCCTATTTCGGGCTTGCATCCCCTCTCCTTAGACTATTTACAGCAACGATCTTCAAACTGGCCATGAAGATCCACCTTCCATGATACAGATCTTCCCAATGTGCAAACCCATTCATTTCACTCCCTAGCTTAAGCGTAAGTGACACCTCTCTCCTCAAATGCCACAAAAGGAAGTGCCAAATCCTTTGCCTGCAGGCTTGCCTCTTCAAGACAGATTCTACCCAGCTTCATCTTCAGCGAGGCTCCTAGATCACTCCGAGCTCTAGTACTACTAATCAGCCGGCCATTTTCAGGCCGAATGTCCCTTGTGAGCAATTTCATTTGGTCCACATCATGTTTAAATTTATTTGGATCTAGATGCCAAAGTTGCTTTCTAAAAATTGGGAGATTTTCCCTAAGGCCCCAGATTTCCAGCTTCTTTTAAGAAATCAAAAGTTCTGGTAATATTGGACCTGGGTTCCAGTGTGCCAGTCAGTGGATGCCAAGCGGGGCTGCCACCTTGTGAACAGGGCATGTGCTCCGTGTCTGCACAGGCCCTATGGCTCCCTGTTGCTCTCTGGCCTGGCCTACTTTCCTCACTTACTACTTGCCTGGCTCCTGTTTGTCACCTCTGATATTTTCTCACTATAAATCTTGTCTCTTGCTGTTCTCTTGACCTAGAATGCTTTTCCATTTCTCAGAGGTCACATTTTTGGGTAGCCTATTTAACCTCAAAATGCAAAATTCTTTGCTCCTTCCCATGTGTGTGCTCCTAGCACTTGACAAGTTCCTCTATCAGAGCAAATAACACAGAGGTTTGTGTGAATACC